TATCCCTCTCTCACACAAATAAATAAATAAATAAAATCATAAAAAAAAAAAGACAAAGACAAAAATACCAGGAAGGAAATAATAAATACAAAGTGGGTGCTGAGACAACATCTCAGCAGAGGAATTTAATTATAGGAAGTGATGAAAGAGGAAAGAAAGCTGAGAAGTTTGACAGCTGTGGTTTTAGAGAAGGATGTGAATTTATTCATTTTTTTCTCTTGCATCAGTCTTCATAAAAAGTGGAAATTGGTTGATTCTGATGGCAGTAATCTTTGACTATCTATAATCTAGTCCCTTTGGACAAGTCAGCAAAAAGTAGAACTACAGTGGACCTAATTATGACTCTGACTCTACTTAACTATTCATACTATTATAAATAATATACTCTTTTGAATCTTGGTTTTCTCATCTCTAAAAAGGGTGAGAAATACAAGTCTTTTTCTCCAGGGGTTTTGAAGCTCAAATGCAGTAGTGTTTATCCATTTCATTTATCTCATTTATTCAATAGGTATTCAGCAAATAATCCATTGTCTACCCTGCACCAAGCATTGCTGTGGGTGCTGGGGATATAGAAATGAACAAAGCAGGGTAACATCCTTGCTTTTATGGAACTTACATTTTAGCAGTAGGAGAAAGATAATAAAGAAATAAGCAAATAAATGTCTAATATGTAAGATATTGACAATTGTTAAGAAGAAAATAAATAGCTAAAGGGGATAGAATTACTAAAAAAAATTGTCAACTGTGAAGAACTATACAAAATTAAGATTTAATGTATTTCAGACTTGATTGAATAATAGGATTAAGCTCAAGGTCTTTGGCACTGGACACTGTATTTGACTTTTTCATACAAGAGGAATTTCTGTTATTGCTCATTACAAGATCGGCCTTTTTTAAAAGGCCCCATCTCCCCACTTTTTCCTAAGTCCTTATATTGACATGAAGCTTCTGGAAAATGATTCATACTCTTTCAAATAGAAATTTAATTCAGCATCAGAAGTATCTAGGATTTGAGAGTTTCCTGAATCTTAATTCCAATCTTTATATCTTTGGACAGTTCTTTTTCTTATTTTGCCTAATCCCCATTTTGGAAAACAGGAGGAATCTTTCTTTTTTCTTTTTTTTTTTTTCTTTTCTCTTTCTTTCTTTTTTTCTTTTGAATTACTCAGTGCTTTTTTTTTTTCAGATTTTATTTATTTATTTGATAGAGTGAGAGAGCACAAGCAGGAACAGTAGAGGGAGACAATGGAAAAGTAGGCTCCCTGCTGAGCAGAAAACCTGATGCAGTTGCTAGATCTCAGGACCCCAGGATCATGACCTGAGCAGAAGGCAAATGCTTAACTGACTGAGCCACCAGGCACCCTACTCAGTGCTTTACATTGTTTTTATGTCTGTTGAAGATAGAATCATATTATCTTTATAGGTGCTATGTATTGAATATTAATCTTCAATAGAGGTCACACTCAGTTCATTTTATGTAATTTCTTGATTAATGTTAAAAGCGTACTTCTCAAACATTTGTGAACATGCCTCTAAATAGAAGGCATGTCTTTGAATAGAGAGAATAGCAAATCCCTCTATTCTTTCACCAGGGTGGATGCAATTGAATTAAAAGTGAGATCAGAAGCCTGTTGCAGATTTTATTTTCATACAGAAACAGAATACTCTCACCTAAGAATCCGAGTACTGCCAACTCCACCTGGAAGGATTGCTTCCATATAACATGAGTTGCCGTTGGGCATAACATAATGGAATTCAAATTAATTTAGATACACATTCCATTAAGCTGGGCTACTTTAAAATGGAACGCCCTTATGTTAAAATTCAGTAGTAACTCTTTATTATCTCTTGTTCTAAGATGACTTAAATGCTTTTTAGACAGTCTCTAGTTGCTACAAGGTAGGTGACCAACAGAAGTATTTCCCAAGCTTATTTAGCAATGACAAGACATTAACTTTTTCTCAAAGGTCAAGAAGGTGTTGATGGGTGCATTGATGCTGTGAGCAGCTCTGATAGAAAAGTCTTCCTTCACTAGCTCCCTGGACTCAAAGAACAAGTATTAAAAGAGTCGATAGAGTGTTTTATAAAAGGATGTGCCCTTAAAGTTAGGGTCAGGATATGGACTATACTGTTACTTTGAAAATACAATGCTTTGCACTAGTGATCAATATTATTAGCTCTAAAGTGTCCTCAGAGCTTATATGCAGGAATTTTTTTCTCTATGTTTCTCCAAAAATTTTTGATTTGTATGAAGTGGGGAAGACTCTTGCACTTTTAATTTTAGATACTTCTAAGGTTAGAAATTAAGATAACATTGAGATCCTAAAACCTGAAATCCAATTTAATAGTCTTATTTTATGAGGGTCAGTATTTTTTAAAGCAACAGTTCATTATCAATTCCTGTCTTCAATCTATTCTTTTTTTTTATTTAAGAGAAATAAAGGGGTTTTTTTTGCATTTTGTTAAAAGAAAATAAAGTTCTACATGATACAAGGACCAAAGCAAACACTGATTTAATTAGGTATTTAAATATTTGCTGAAACATTATTTCTTTCTCAAATCCTACTTTTAAAAAAAATCAGTTACTTCTCCACTGCCTCATATCAGGGAGATCATATGATAGTTGTCTTTCTCCGATTGACTTATTTCGCTAAGCATGATACCCTCTAGTTCCAGCCACATCATTGCAAATGGCAACATTTCATTTCTTTTGATGACTGCATAGTATTCCATTGTGTAAGTGGAGATGCAACATGGGGGGTTAAGGGGGTAGGAGAAGAATAAATGAAACAAGATGGGATTGGGAGGGAGACAAACCATAAGTGACTCTTAATCTCACAAAACAAACTGAGGGTTGCTGGGGGGAGGGGGGTTGGGAAAGGGGGGTGGGGTTATGGACATTGGGGAGGGTATGTGCTATGGTGAGTGCTGTGAAGTGTGTAAACCTGGCGATTCACAGACCTGTACCCCTGGGGATAAAAATATATGTTTATAAAAAATTTTTAAAAAATCAGTTACTTGCTTTGAAAAGTAGAATTTTTTTTAATGTTTGTGTGTGTCATAATTTCCAAGATGAAACTTACCTTTTTAAAACTGAGAATCAGAGACAAATGACTGTTTCATTTTTTTCTTTCATATTTTTCCTACCTTTCCTCTCCAGTTCTCAACAGGCTGTGTCTTCGCGCACCTGAAGGAGCAGACAAACATCTTTTTTTTTTTTTAATAAAGCTGTCCTATATAACTTGCTGGCATAGTATGAAGAATTCTTTCAGGCTCACTTTTTTTCCCCATTTCCTCCCACTATCTCAACCAGAGTTCCTCTTTGGTTGAGATAGAAATGGGTAGTATTTCTACCCATACTCCAATCTCATAATCTGAAAAGAAAACAAACAAAAACAAAAACAAACAAAATTTTTCCTTGCTCATTCTGTTTGAAACAGGCCTTTGAGCACATTTACAGAGTCATTTCCATGACAATATCAAAGCCCTCAATTTCTATTCAGTGTTATAAAGAGGAAAATCTATCATTCAAGTGAACTTCAGATCTGTATTTTTTCCAAGGTGTGAGATCAGATGTGAAATGAACCCATAAAGAAAGTGGTTGGGAAAAACCAATAGCACACCCTGGGATGGTTTCCTGGTGTGTTAAGAGTTCAATGTAACCCTTGACTCCATTTGCATTAGTCCTCTGTTGAATGTAAGAATTAGAGAAAGCATTTAAAATAAGGAGATTGAAACTCCACCTACTTCTATTCTAGATTCTATTGAAAGTCTAGGGATATTTTATAAAATAAAATCACATATGTATAGTGGCACTTCCAAGAGATTAAAAAATTCAAATAATAGGAATTTGCAAGATGAGTATTTAAAATGCAGTCACATCTATTGTCTCTTTAATACTGATGAAAGCTTCCTACAAAAGGAACATCAGTATTTTCGGTAGTCTTAAAAACAGGAAACCTTTTTAGGATGGGATTTTGAGCACTAATTCTGCTTTTAGTATTTTTCAAAACACTGAAGATAGTGAAATAAGACATAAATATGCTGGACTTCAAAATTTTTCACTTTTCCAAAAGCTATTTTCAGTTTCCGGTGGAATTGCAGTCTTTTTCTTATTTTGTGGGAAGGATTTTGGCTATTAAACTGCCCAGTGAATCTAACCATTAAGAGCAAGAAAATCTTGGATGCACATTGAACTAATGCTATAAACTTTCTTATATATCTTCAGATGGAGGAAATTACATGAGACAAGGGAACTGGTTCCCTGTCCACTCCCCTGCCATTTGTGAAGAAAAAGGTATTATTATGAACACAGAGTTTCATAATAATTGCATAATTATTTTTGTTTCTTCATCAGTGCCAACCTGCTACTGGTGAGGTACAGCAGTCTGAAAAGAAGTCATCTGAGAACGGAATTCTAACAACTTAAGAAATATTTCCTGCAGCCACCCCTCTTCTTTCCAATTTGCAAAAAAGCCATTTCAAAAATTTCTGAGCAGTGACACTATAAGAAAAAGTAAACTACAGACCAATATCTCTGATGAATGTAGATGCAAAAATCCACTACAAAATTCTAGCAAACTCAATCCAACAATATATGAAAAAAAAATTCTCAGTTAAGTGGGATTTATTCCAGAGATGCAAGCATGCTTCAATATTTGCAAATCAAGCAACGTGATGTATCATATCAATAAGAGAAAGGATAAAAGCCATATGATTATTTTAATGGATGCAGAAAAAGCATTTGACAATGTACAACACACATTCATGATAAAAACTGTCAACAAAGTAGATTTGGAGGGAACATACCTCAACATAATAAAGGCCAAAGATTTAAAAAAAAAAAAAATCCATAGCTAACATCATACTCAATGCAGAAAAACTGACAGCTTTTCCTCTAAGCTCAGGAACAAGACACTTGTTACCCAAGTCCACTCTTACCCCTTTTATTCAACATAGTACTGGAAGTACTAGCCACAGCAATCAGACAAGAAGAAATAGTGTTTGCTTCTGTAGCACATACACTAAAAAATTGGAATGATACAGGGAAGATAAGCATGGTCCCTGTGCAAGGAAGACATACAAATTTGTGAAGTGTTCCATATTTTTAAAAAATATATCAATCAACAAAAGGCATCCAAGTTGTTAAAAAAGAGGTAAAATTTTCACTATTTGTAGATCACAAGATACTGTATATAGAAAACCCTAAAAATTCCACAAAAAAACTACTAATACTAAAAAATGAATTCAGTAAAGTCATAGGATAAAAAATTAATTTACAGAGACTAGTTGCATTTCTATATACTAACAATAAAGTAGCAGAAAGAGAAAATAATAAAACAATCCCATTTATAATTGCACTAAAAAGAAAAAAATACTTAGGAATAAACTTAACCAAGGAGGTGAAAGACCTGCACTCCAAAAACTATAAAACACTGATGAAAGAAATTAAAGAAGACATAAACAAATGAAAGATGTTCCATGCACATGGGTTGGAAAAACAAATATTATTAAAATGTCTAGTCTAGCCAAAGCAATCTACAAATTTAATGTAATCCCCATCAAAATACCAACAGTATTTTTCACAGAACTGGAATAAATAATTCTAAAATTTATGTGGAACCAAAACCAAAACAAACAAACAAAACAAAACAAAACAAAAGCCACCAAATAGCCAAAGCAATCTTGAAATAGAAAAACAAACCTGAAGGTATCACAGTCCCAGGTTTTAAGATGTACTACAAAGTTGTAGTAATCAGAACAGCATGGTTCTGGCACTAATACACACATAAGTCAATTAAACAGAATAGAGAACCCAGAAATAAACCCACACTCATGTGGTCAATGAATCTGTCACAAAGGAAGCAAGAAGATACACTGGGGAAAAGACAATCTCTTCAACAAACAGTGTTGGGAAAACTGGGCCACTTTCAAATACCATACCTAAAATAAACTCAAACGGTATAAGGACCTAAATGTGAGACCTGAGCTGTGAAATTTCTAGAAGAAAACATAGGCAGTAATCTCTTTGATATCAGCTGTAGCAACAGTATTCTAGATAGGTCTCCTCAAGCAAGTGAAACAAAAGCAAAAATAAACTTGGGACTACATCAAAATAGAAAACTTTTGCACGGAGAAGGAAAACATCAACAAAACAGGAAGATAACTACTAAATGGGAGAAGGTATTTGCAAATGATGTATCCAATAGGGGTTAATATGCAAAATACATAAAGAATTTATACAACCACACCAAAACAAACAAGAAACAACAACAACAACAAAACAAAAACAAATAATCTGGTTAAAAATGGACAGAGGAGGGCTCCTGGGTTGCTTAGTTGATTAAGTGGCTGACTTGTGATTTTGCCTCAGGGTCCTGAGATCCAGCCAGCCCTGCATCAGGCTCCGCACTCATTGGGGAGTCTACGTGAGGATTCCTTCTCCCTCTTTCTCTCTGCTCCTTCCCCCGCTCTCTCTCTCTCTCTCTCTCAAATAAATAAACTGGTCTTTTAAAAAAAAATGGGCAGAGGAACTGAACAGACATTTTTCCAAACAACACATACAGATGCCAACAGAAATATGAAAAGATGATCAACATCATCCTCAGGGAAAAGCAAATCAAAGCCACAATGAGGTATCACCGTACACCTGTCAGAATGGCTAAAATCAAAACCAATAAGAAATAATAAGTGTTGACGAGAATGTGGACAAAAAGGAATCATTTTGCATTGTTGGTGGGAATGCTAGCTGGTATAGCCATTGTGGAAAACAGTATGAAGATTCCTCAAAAAATTAAAAACAGAATTACCATATGATCCAGTAATTTCACTACTGGGTATTTACCTAAAGAAAATGAAAACACTAATTGGAAAAGATATATGCACCTCTATGTTTATTCCAGCATTATTTACAATAGCAAACTATGGAAGCAGCCAAGTGTCCATCAGTAGATGGATGGATAAGGAAGATGTAGTATACATACACAGTGAAATATTTCAGCCATAAAAAAGTGAAATCTTGCCTTTGCAAAAACATGGATGGACCTAGCAGGTATAATGCTAAGTGAAATAAGCCAGTCAGGGAAAGACAAATAGCATGTCATTTCACCTGTGTGTGGAATTTAAGAAACAAAACAAATGAGCAAAGAAAAAAAGAGACAAACGAAAAAACCAGACCTTTACTATACAGAACAGACTGGTGCAAGCAGAGATGGATGTGGGGGTATGGGTAAAATAAGGGGATTAAGAGTACACTTGTCATCATGAGCACTGAGCAATAGATAGAATTGTTGAATCATTACATTGTACACCTGAAAGTAATATAGCCCTCTATATTAATTATACTTGAATAAAAAAATTTCTGAACAGTGATATAACTGCACAGAATGAAGTGATAAAATAGTAATTATATAATCACGAGATTAATATTAACTCCAAAGTTTATGTACTAAAATAATAAACTTCTGGCTTGTTTTTTAATATATCTTTTTTATATATATATATATATATATATATATATATATATATATGCTATCTCATTTTCCAAAGGACTAGGAAACTTTGAGTATATGACTATGTTACAAGGACAAGTAAAATACTACACTTGAAGACATGAGGCAAAATTCTTTGGCTTACTCCATTTGCGTGGCTTGGGCAGAGCTGACTTCTTTTAACTCAGTTTCTCTAAAAACATGGATAAAGAGACCCTTGGCTAACAATCACAAATGTCTGAAAGTCTCAAAGTTAAATTTTCCTTCTGATAGTTGTGACTAGATGAGAATGAGGAAGTATGGTAGATGAAGAATATTTCACAAAATGAAGACATCTAAGGTTTTCTCTTAGAGCTGGTTAATTAGTAAACATTTTCTCTTATGGCTGGTCTGAGCAGTTTTGCAGTCAATAACATGGACCGCAGAGCCCACTGTGTGGTAAGAAATTTTTCATTTTAGGTGTCATTTTCCATCTCACTGCTCCTGTTATGCCACACTGCTCAATTTAGGAAATATGTTTTTTTAATGTCATTTTTAAGATCTTAGAGTATTTGGGGCATAGTGGGTACTTGTTAGAATTGATAATAATGGTCTTTTTTTCTCCTATGTTATACATACAGTATTTCTACAGTAGATATTTTTCTCAAAATATTTTAAATTTGCCTCGTGTTCAAAAAGGAGACTACTTTACTGATGATCATGTTGTTCTTGAGTAAGTTATTTAACCTTCCTGACTCTCAGATTTTGCATGTGAAAATTGTAAATAATAAGGCACAATTCTTAAGGTTTTTTTGGAGACACACATGATGAAAAATGTGCCTAGTATAATGCTTACCATATAAGTGATTTATTTTATTATTGTTATTATTATTAACAGAAGTAAGACTCTACAATATAATTTTGCTTAAAACCTTCTTTGAAGATTTTTCTTTAATTGAGTTGACTAGAGACACCTGGATGGCTAAATTGGTTAAGCATCTAACTTCAGCTCAGGTCATAATCTCAGGGTCCTGGGATCAGGCTCCCTGCTCCACCAGGAGTCTACTTGTCTTCCCTCTGTATCTACCCCTCCCCTTGCTCATGCTCTCTCTCAAGAGAACTTGCCTTTCTCTTTTATATCTCTCTTTCTCTCTCTCTCTCTCAAAATAAAATAAAGTAAAATCTTTAAAAAAAAATTTTTTTGAGTTGACTAAGTAGAGTGACCAATGGATTAACTTTCCAAATTGTTTTTTTCATATAGATAAAATTAGTGATATTTTTGTCTTCTACTTCAAGAATTGATTCAATTTTTATCAGAATCCTTATGTAGTTGGTACTTTGGACATGTGTGGAAAAAATACAACCTACATTGTCCTTCTGTATCTTAATTTAGCTTAAGCTTTCATTGTGCTATTTGGGTTTTACCTACCCTTCCAGGGTTGTATACAGGTTTGGGGGGCTTACACAATACCAGGGCACAGAGATGGGAGTGGAAAAACTCTCCCTTAGTCATTGATACACACCAGTTGCTGCTGGTAATTCTTTGGACAGAGACCAGGAAAAACTCCATTCTTCTTGCCAGGTCCTAAGTTAGTCAGTTATTTTCATAAAGCAATGAGTGGAAGGTTAGGATTTTAGGAAACACATTAATCAGAGGAGTTTTTATAGCAATGCCTCTTTTATTTTCCATTGAAAATAAAATTAAATAAAAATCAGATATATCCACACTAGTTTCCCAGTGCTTTACTGATGAAGTTTCATATATATATATATTTTTTTTTTGGTCTAAGCAACAAAGATGAATCTTTCCATATCCATATGATGCCTTGTCTTTGGGAAATGGACAAAAATTCATTCAAAGTGAAATATTTTAAAAAACTGCTTCCTTTTGACAGGGAGGTGTACTGCCTTTCTCTTTTATATCTGAGATTATTGACAGAGATGACATTTGTTAGAATGCCCCTTTTTTGTTTGGGGCAAACATCCTTTATTCTGTAGTGGAAATACTACAAAGTAGTAAGCTATGGTAGCCAGCCTTCAAGGTGGTTCCTAATGAGCCATTCCTTTTGGCATTCTTGATCATATGTGATCTTCTCCCATAATCAGTAGACGTGACCAGTATAACCAATAGGATCTTGGAGGGAATAACAATTTCTGAAGCTTGGTCATAAAAGATACTGCGGCCCCTGCCTTGCCTTCTCTTCAATCTCTCTCCTTAGGGAATCCAGCCACCATGTTTTGAGACTCCTCAAGCCACTCTGTGCAGGAGAGGAACTGAAGCCAATTGCCAATAGCCAAGGTGAACTTGTTAGTCATGTGAGTGAGGCACCTTGGCAGTTACATCTTCCAGACTTACAAGATGTCAGATGAGTGTAGTCTTAGTTGACATTTTAACTCATGAGAGAGCTTGAGCCAAAATGGCGTAGCTAAGCCACTCTGAAATTCTTGGCCTACAGAAACCATGTAAAATAATAAATAATTGTTATCATTTTAAGCCATGAAGTGTGGGAATACTTTGCAATTGTAGCAATAGATCACTGATACACAGGCATATAAGAATTCTCATGAATAGATGTAAAGGCTTTGTCAATAATCCCTTGCATTTTTTCCTCCTTTTGTAATATATAGAAATTATCTTTGGGGAATGGAATGGCTCAAGTTTTGTGGTCCTGCACCCTGCAAATGACAGTCCATCTTCGCCAATTTCTTTCTTTCTTTTTTTTTTTTTTTTCAGAAGAAAGACTTAATGAACGTCAAATGACCAAGAGTTTTAGTCAGCTGCATCAAGATAGTCTCAAATTCTCCTGTTTGTGTTCACCTGGCTCTTTTAGCTTCTCCATCTCTTTCTCTTACTTCTGTGCCACTTTTGGTGGAGTTGAGTGGGTGGGGCACAGGAAAATTTTTGCTGTTTCTGTGTCAAACTTTGGGAGTAAGGAAGCGTGAGAGACTCTGGGTTTTCTGTATTCTCATCTGCTAAATTCACCACAGTTATACCCTCTCTCTATGGGTCCTGGCCCCATAGGATCTTCTGTATAGGACCTTCCAAAATCTCTATTATCACTAATTAAGGAATCTATTTCTAGTCTACATGTGTGGGTGGCAAAGGTGGTAGGTGGAGGTGATAGATATGGAATCTTTCTTAATTTCTTCTGAGTATTCTGTCTCTACCCCAGATATTGTCCATTTAAGCTCTTAGGAACTTGAAAACAATAGCCAGAAAGACTGTTAGACTTTTCTGGCTTTTGCCTTGTTTTACCACTCCTCTCAGGCATCTTCTTTGTTTGAATGAGGGGAAGGGATGGAGGAAATGCAAGGAGAAAAAAATGAATATATGTTAGTACCTCAAAGATATGATGCTGTGCTAGCTTTGGCAGCACATATACTAAAATTGAAATGGTAGAGAGAAGATTAGCATGGCCCTTGTGCAGGGATGATGTACAAATTCATGAAGTATTCCATATTTTTATAATAGTAAGGGACTTTAACACCTCCCTCACTGCAATGGACAGATCATCTAAGCAGAAAATCAACAAGGAAAGAAGAGGTTTGATGACACACTTGACCAGCTGGATTTCACAGACATATTTGGAGTATTCCATCCTAAAACAACAGTATACATACTCTTCTCAACTGTGCATGACACATTGTCCAGAAAAATCACATACTGGGTCACAAACCAGGTTTCAACTGGTACCAAAAGATTGGGATTATCCCTTGCATATTTTCAGACCACAATGCTTTGAAACTTGAATTCAATCACAAGAGGAAATTTGGAAAGAACTGGAATACATGGAGGCTAAAGGGCATCCTTCTAAAGAATGAATGGGTCAACCAGGAAATTAAGAATTTAAAAAATTCATGGAAACAAATGAAAAATGAAAATACAACAATTCAAAATCTCTGGGATGCAGCAGAGGCAGTCCTAAGAAAGAAATACAGAGCAACACAAGCCTTTTGGAAGAAACAAGAAAGGTCTCAAATATACAACCTAACATGACACCTAAAGGAGATGGAGAAATAACAGTAAATAAAGCATAAACCCAGCAAAAGAAGAGAATTAATAAAGATTAAAGCAGAAATCAATGAAATAGAAACCAAGAGAATAGTAGAACAGATTGATGAAACTAGGATCTGGTTCTTTGAAAGAATTAATAAGATTGATAAACCCCTGGCTAGACTTAGAAGAAAAGAGAAAGGACCCAAATAAATAAAATCATGAATGAAAAGGGAGTGATCACAACCAACACCAAAGAAATCAAATTATAAGAACATATTATGACCAACTATATGACAAAAAATAAGGCAATCTGGAAGAAATGGATGAATTCCTAGAGAGGTATAAACTATCAAAACTGAGCCAGGAAGAAATAGAAAACCTGAACAGACCCATAACCAGCAAGGAAATTGAAGCAGTAATCAAAAATCTCCTAACAAACAAGAGTCTAGGGCCAGATGGCTTCTCAGGGGAACTCTACCAAACATTTAAAGAAGAATGAATACCTATTCTTCAGAAGCCCTTTCAAAAAATAGAAATGGAAGGAAAACTTCCAAACTTTTTCTATGAGGCCAGCATTACCTTGATCCCCAAACCAGACAAAGACCCCACTAAATGGGAGAATTACAGACCAATACCCCTGAGGAACATAGATGCAAAAATTCTCACCAAGATACTAGCCAATAGGATCCAACAGTATATTCAAAGGATTATTTCCACTACGACCAAGTGGGAGTTATTCCTGGACTTCAAGGATGGTTCAACATCTGCAAATCAATAAATGTGATATACTACATTAATAAAAGAAAGGACAAGAACCATATGATCCTCTCAATAGATTCACAAAAAGCATTTAACAAAGTACACCATCCTTTCTTGATTAAAATTATTCATAGTGTGAATATCATTCTCAATGGTGAAAAATTGAAAGCTTTTCCCCTAAGGTCAGGAACACAGCAGGAATGTCTACTCTCACCACTGTGGTTCAACATAATACCATAATACCAGCCTCAGCAATCAAAAAGAAATAAAAGGCATCTGAATTAGCAAAGAAGAACTCAAACTCTCACTCTTCACAGATGTCATGATGCTCTATGCAGAAAACCCAAAAGACCACCCCAAAACTGCTAGAATTCGTTAATGTGGCAGGATATAAAATGAGTGCACATAAATCGGTTGCATTTCTATACACCAACAGTGAGACGGAAGAAAGAGGAATTAAGGAGTTGATTCCATTTACAACTGCACCCAAAACCATAAGATACATAGGAATAAACCTAACCAAAAAGGCAAAGGATCTGTACTCATTAAACTATAGAACATTCATGAAGGGAATTGAGGAAGACACAAAGAAATGGAAAAATATTCCATGCTCATGGATTAGAAGAAAAAATATTGTTAAAATGTCTATGGTACCTAGAGCAATCTATACATTCAACACAATCCCTATCAAAACACCATCAACTTCTTTCACAGAGCTGAAATAAATAATCCTAAAATTTGTATGGAACCAGAAAAAAACCCAAATAACTAAGGGAATGTTGAAAAGGAAAACCAAAGCTGGTGGCATTACAATTTCAAACTTTAAAGCTCTATTACAAAGCTGTAATCATCAAGACAGTATGGTACTGGCACAAAAACAGACACATAGATCAATGGAACAGATCAGTGGAACTCAGAAATGGACCCTCAACTCTGTGGTCCACTAATCTTCAACAAAGATTTTCCATTTTTCCAATGGAAAATCTTTCCAATGGATTTTTGGACATCCAACAATGTCCAAATCTTTTCAACAAATGGTGTTGGGAAAACTGGACAGCCACATACAGAAGAATGAAACTGGACCATTTCCTTACACCATACACAAAAATAGACTCAAAATGGATGGAAAAACCTAAATGTGAGATAAGAATCCATCCAAATCCTAAAGGGGAAACAGGCGGCAACCTCTATGACCTCAGCTCCAGCACCTTCTTGCTATACATGTCTCCAAAGGGAAGAGAAACAAAGGCAAAAATGAACTATTGGGACTTCATCAAGATAAAAGCTTTTGCACAGCAAAGGAAACAGTGGACAAAACCAAAAGATAATTGACAGAATGGAAGAAGATATTTGCAAATGTCTTAGCCAATAAAGGACTAGTATCCAAAATCTATAATGAACTTCTCAAACTCAACACCCAAAGAACAAATAATCCAATCAAGAAATGGACAGAAGACACGAATAGTCATTTCTCTAAAGAAGACATACGAATGGACAGCAGATACATGAAAAACTGCTGAACATCACTTTTCATCAGGGAAATACAAATCAAAATCACAATGAGATACCACCTTACATCAGTCAGAATGGTTAAATTAACAAGTCAGGAATCAACAGATGTTGGTGAGGATGTGGAGAAACACTGTTGGTGGGAATACAGGTTGGCACAGCCACTCTGGAAAACAGTATGAAGTTTCCTATAAAATTGAAAATAGAGCTACCCTATGACCCAGCAATGATACTACTGGGTATTTACCCCAAAGACACAAATGTAATGATCTGCAGGGGCATTTGCATCCCAATCTTTATAGAAGCAATGTCCACAATAGCCAAACTATGGGAAGAGTTTAGCTGTCCATCAGCAGATGGGATGAAGAAGATGTGGTATATAGATACATATGAAGGAAGACTACTCAACTATCAAAAAATGAAATCTTGCCATTTGAAATGATGTGGATGGAATGAGAGGGTATTGTGCTAAGCAAAATAAGTCAATCAGGGGCACCTGGGTGGCTCAGTGGGTTAAAGCCTCTGCCTTTGGCTCAGGTCATGATCTCAGGGTCCTGGGATCGAGCCCCGCATCGGGCTCTCTGCTCAATGGAGAGCCTGCTTCCTCCTCTCTCTCTCTCTCTCTCTCTCTCTCTCTCTGCCTACATGTGTTCTCTGTCTGTCAAATAAATAAATAAAATCTTTAAAAAAAAATAAGTCAATCAGAGAAAAACAATTATCATATGATCTCATTCATATGTGGAATTTAAGAAACAAAACAGAAGATCACAGGGGAAGAGAGGAAAAAATAAAACAAGACAAAATCAGAGAGGGAAACAAACCATAAGACACTCTTAATCATAGGAAACAAACTGAGGGTTTCTGGAAGGGAGGGGGTTGGGGTAACTGGATGATGGACATTTAGGAGGGCACATGATGTAATGAGCACCTGGTATTATATAAGATTGATGAATTACTGACCTCTACCTCTGAAACTAATAATACATTATATGTTAATTAATAGGATTTAAATTTTTAAAAAGAAAAAAGAAAAAAATGAAACTTTTATTTTACTTTTTCTAACCCTATTCTGAAATAATTTTAGACTTTTAGTTTCAAAATTCATCCAGAGAATTCCCATATACCTAGCTTTCCCTAATATTAACATTCTACATAACCATAGCCACAATGCAATGATCTAAGCCAGGAAATGAATATTGATATAATATTATTCACCACAGTACAGACTTTGTTGTAATTTCTCCACTTGTCCAACTGAAGTCCTTTTTCTGGTCCAGGCTCTCATATTTCATTTAGTTTTCCTGTTTCCTCAAGTTTCTTTGTCTTTCATGACCCTGGCACTTGAAGAGTACTACTAGTTACTTTGCAGGAATATCTTTCAATTGCGGCACCTGTGTGACTCAGTCGGTTAAGTGTCCAACTCTTGGTTTCAGCTCACATCATGATCTCAGGGTCTTGAGATCTAGCCCCACTGTGGGCTCCTGGCTCAGCGGGAAGTCTGCTTATCTCCCTCTCTCTCTGCCCCTCCCCCCAACTTGTGCACCCTCAAAAGCAAGCACTCTCTCTCTCTAAAATAAATAGCTAAATATTGGGAAAAAAAAGATATTATGCCAACACACTTATTGCAATTCATACTGGGGTTTCAAGTTTCACCCAAATTTTGCCCTAAAATTATATGTGAATAAAAGTTATCTGAAGGTGTGAGTAAACAGAGAGAATGAAGTTTAAGAAAAGCTGAGCTATTTTTTTTTAATTTTATTTTTTATAAACATATATTTTTCCCCCCCAGGGGTACAGGTCTGTGAATCTCCAGGTTTACACACTTCACAGCACTCACCATAGCACATACCCTACCCAATGTCCATAACCCCCCCAACCCCCCTCCCCCCAGCAACCCTCAGTTTGTTTTGTGAGATTAAGAGTCACTTATGGTTTGTCTCCCTCCCAATCCCAACTTGTTTCATTTACTCTTCTCCTACCATATTAACCCCCCATGTTGCATCTCCTCTCCCTCATATCAGGGAGATCATATGATAGTTGTCTTTCTCTGATTGACTTATTTCGCTAAGCATGATACCCTCTAGTTCCATCCACGTTGTCGCAAATAGCAAGATTTCATTTCTTTTGATGGCTGCATAGTATTCCATTGTATATATATACCACATCTTCTTTATCCATTCATCTGTTGATGGACATCTAG